TTTGTTTTTTCTATATATAAAAAATCATGTGATATGACGTCATTTCGACCATTTCGACTTTTCATTTCGACTTTGACTTCCAAAGTCGAAACATTTCGACTTTTTGGGTTTTCATTTCGACTTCATGTATAGTCTAGACGGTCTTGAAGACTAGCAGTAGAGTATGTTATTTAAAACAATATCTCGTGAAGAATCTCACCACTTCTTATATGCTATACAGATGCTATATGACTGCCAGCAGTTCATATCACAAGATGTAAGGTTAATTCCGCTAATGAACGAAACCTCTCAGATCAAGTAAGCCCTAATGACAAGTTTAATTTTTTAATTTTTTTTTTAATAAAAAAAAACATTAACTTACTTTTGATAATCTGATCCAGAATTTATAAAACTTGGATTCTTATATGAAGGTAAGTTCTAATTGAATAATTCGTAAGTTTTTTTTTTGTTTAAAGAAAATTTAAACTAACATACCTTTGTAGAAAACAATACAGTATCTTCAGTTTAAAGATAAGTACTAATAGAGAATTTTTGTTAACTCTTTATTATATATTTTTTTTAAATTTATAAAAAAACTAATATTATCTTATCTTTATAGACTGATTCAGAACCTATGAGCCTTAAAATTTGGGATAAAGATAAGTCCTAAATAATAATTAATTGGTGTTTTTATTTTTTAAACATTTAACTAACATACTTTTATAGAAAACAGTCTGAAACCTTTATATCTTGGATTGGAATCGGATTGGAGGTAAGTCCTAGTGAATTTTTGTTAGCTATTTTTTTTTTTTTTAATTTAAAAAAAAATACTTTTAAACCCAATCTGAAACCTATAAATCTTGAAATTTGGAATGGGGTAAATCCTAAATAATATAATTAATTGTGTTTTTATTTTTTATAAATAAACTAATATTTCAATTAACTTACCTTTGTAAAACAGTCTGGATTCTTGAAACCTTGAATTGAAATCAGATCTTAGGTAAGAATTTATTAGTATTTTTTTTTTTTTTTATAAAAAAAAGGTTAAAAAAATAGAAATATATTAACTTACCTTTGTAAACTTTAAATTGGATAAAAGGTTAGTTTTAATTTAAATTTCTTTATTTTTTTTATTTTATTTTATAAAAAAAAAACTAACAATAAATTTACCTTTGTGAAATAGTCTGGATCCTTAAAACCTAGAGTTAAATTGGAGTTGAGTCAGATCAAAGTAAATCCTAATTGAAAATTTTATTAGTAAAATTTAAAAAAAATAAGGAACTAATATTAACTTATCTTTGTAGAGCAGTCAGAGCAGTCTGAATCCTTAAAATCTTAGATTGGAACTTGAGGTAAGATTACATTATTTTAAAAAAAAAAGTTTAAATTGACATTAATTTACCTATATAGATCTATAGATCTTAAGATCTTGAACATAAGGTAAATACTAATTAATGGTTTTGCATTATTAATTTTTTAAAAAAAATTATATAAATTTTTAGCTAATTTTCTTTTAAAACATTTCTACCATTTTTTTTTATTTCTTATAATTCAAGATAAATTAATTTTCATTTAAAAAAAAATTTAGTTAAAATTTAATTTGTAAAAATATTTATTTATAAATAAAAAATAAAATTATAATTCATATCATTTTTCATAATTCATATCATTTTTTTCATAAATCATATCTTATTTTTTTATAATTCATATATAATTAATTGAAATATTTATAAAATAAAACAAATACTAATTAATAAATGCTATTAATTTTTCTTTTTAAAAACATTATACGTTTAAAAAGTTCTGCATTCATTCTAGTTCTTTTTGCAATTAATTTAGTTAACGAAGTCTATTTCCTCAAGTCTGTATATTCAAACCCGATGTCATAAAAATAAAGAAAAAAATTATTGTATGTTTTTTTTTTTAAAAGAAAAAAACAATATAATTAAAAAGAAACCTACCTCTAATCTGATACAACAATGGCTTCAGACCGTTCTATAAAGGTAAGTTTAGTATTGGTTTTTTTTTATAAAAATAAAATAAAAAAACCAAGTTTTAATTAAATCTTACCTCCAATCCAGGATTCCAAGATCTATAGATTTTAGATTAGTTTACAAAGGTAAGTTAATATTAGTTACTTTTTTATTTAAAAAAATTTACTAATAAAATACTTATTTAGAACTCATCTCCGATTCGGTTCAACACAAGGTTTCAAAGATCCAAAGTATTGTAGTAGGATCTCAATTGACCGGCAATCGTCCTACAAAGGTAAGTTTAGTATTAGTTTTTTTTTATAAATAAAATAAAAAAAAAGCTTTAATTAAAGCTTACCTCCGATCCAGGATTCCAAGTTTAGAGTCTACAAAGGTAAGTTAATATTAGTTTCTTTTTTATTTAAAAAAAATAATACTAATAAAATACTTATTTAGGACTCACCTCCGATCTAATTCGGCTTCAAAGGATCCAAATTACCCTACAAGGTAAGTTTGTATTAGTTTTTTTATAAATAAAATAAAAAAAAAGTTTTAATTAGAGCTTACCTCCGATCCAGGATTCCAAGGCCTAAAAAGGTAAATTAATGTCAATTTAAACTTTTTTTCAAAATAACTTAAATTTTTTACCTCAGATCCGATTCCAATCCAAGCCAAGAATCCGCACTGCACATTGGACCTATAACTGGGGATACCATAATGTAGTGGAAGGAGCCAAACAAAGTAAAAATTAGCCGAAGCGATTAAGAAAGACAACGATTCTAAACTTACCTTCCAATCAAAGGTTTCAAGGTACTATCGGTATGTGCTGGTCTTCCTCTAAGGTAAGTTATTTGTTAGTTTTATTTTTTTTAAAAAAAAAAAACAGATTAAATCTACTAACAAATGACTTACATACCAAGCGACCCAAGATTCCCGTTTCTTGACGTTTCAGTTTGGCGTCATTCTAATAAATGAAGAAAAGACGTTAAAAAATTTTCCGTTGAACTAAAATAAAATATAATAAAATAAAATAAAAATAAAAAAAAAAGATATATCTGACGGTAATCCGATCTATCCGCAATCCGCCTTTTTGACGGATGGCTCATCAGATATCCGGATTGATCGGATTCGGATCGTATCTCTATTCTTGATAGCATCACTTATTTCTTTATTTTTATCACTTAGCTGCCTTTTTCTTAATAATGAAGGTTTACTCTGATCGGGTTTATAAATTTTATTTAAGTGATAAGGGCTGTAACTACCAAGAAATGACTTGGATATTAACTGATTCATAACTTCATCGCCAGAGGCTGGCAGGCATGAAGCTACGGCTTCTCCTAAATACAAGGGAAGCTCTCACCGCCGCAGGCAGACATGAGAAACTTCAGCAAAATCAATGAATCAGCCGTCACCGCCACTGGCAGACGCAAACAGCTGTTAGTTACAAGTAACTCATAACTTCATCGCCAGAGGCTGGCAGACATGAAGCTACGGCTTCTCCTAAATACAAGGGAAGCTCTCACCGCCGCAGGCAGACATGAGAAACTTCAGCATAGTTACATTACCTTCAGCAGTTAGTATAAAAGTGTACAGGATACAATTTATCTTTTGACCCCTCCAATATGTAATACAATCAATCAGGTACAATTAGCCAATCATAAATGTGGATCAACGGAATAAATTATAGGGTGTCCAGAAATATGTGGTGATGAACCTCAAAATATGTATGTGAAAAAAATGAAATATGTGATAATATGTGTT